TTTAGTAAAATAATTCAATGATATAACCACCTTCAATCAAAAATCATTGGGAGCCTAATAAATATGCTTATATACACATGTATGTGCATTGCATTGAGCATTTTCCATATTTTTTAGCATACAATTATATATATACTAGTTTAAAAAGGTCCGTACAGGCACGAGTTATTATTACAATATGTTTAAATTTTATATTTTAATAATTTTTTAAAAATTAGAATATCTATATAATAAAGCATGGTGGTTTTTCAATTTGTCTTACACACATTTGTCCTACTAGAACATTTAGACGGCTCAAATTTGTTCAAATTAAAAATAGCAGTTGAGATATATTTTTCAAAAAATGTTCTACATGTACATTTTCTATTTTTTTGCTTCTGTCTCTTACTTTTTCCTTTTCTCACCTATCCTTCTATGATCCCATGATACTGCCTTCCTCTCTCTTTTCTTTTTATTTTTTTTTATTTTCTACTGTTTTTATTTTTCTCTCTATTCGTTTATTTTTTTATTTTCTCCTTTTTGTTCAATATATATTACACATATTTCCATACAATATATGTATGCCCATAATACACTAGGACATTACGGGCATAAATATAATTTCTATATAATTATATAAACAAAAGTAGTATTGTATGTATGTCCGTGAAAATTGTATGTATGCTAGGCAATTAGATTTAAACCTAATATTATTTACACCATGCCTTCAGGCACGAGCATACATTAGTTATTCTATAAAATAGAATGGAATAAATCATTAGATTATTTAGATATATGATAGAGTTATATAGTATGATATGTATCATTTTTTGATTTGTTGTATACCTAATGATATAGACTCAAATTCTATTACCATATCATTTTGGGTGAATTTATGAGTCTCTAACATTTCTTCAGAATTTATAAAAAATAAAAAATAAATAAAAATTATGATGTGTAGTTTTTATTAATAGATTTATATAAATAAATATTAAGATAATTCTCCTATATAAAAAAAACTACTAGGATAACTAATAAAGAAGCAGAAGAAAATACATATTTATACAAATGGTTAATTTTATTAATACATAATTCATACTCGACAAATGACCAATTTTATTAATAAGTAATCATCAAGTAAATTAACAATTTTTAATGATATGAAAAATATTTTTCAGTTAACCATTTTGTTAATAAATAAATCATTAAATCAATTAACAGTTTTCAATATATGAGAAATATTTTTCAATAAACAATTTTGATAATTTATTATTGCATAGGAGAATAGTTTTTTGGAGATTTTTTTTAAAGTCCCTGATATCAAGAATTTATATTATAAAGGACACTCAATATTTTCATAATGTCTAAGGTCCCTCAAATTGATCCAGAAAAAATTCAATTAAGAGAATTGCTCTGGTCCAAACCAGAGAAAATTCTATCCAACTTAGAGAATTTCTCTAGTCCAAACCAGAGAAATTCAATCAAAATCAAAGAAAATTCAATCTAACTCTGAGAATTTCTCTAGTCCAAACCAGAGAAATTCAATCAAAATCAGAGAAAACTCAATCCAACTCAGAGAATTTCTCTGGTCCAAACTAGAGAAATTTAATCAAAATCATAGAAAATTCAATCTAAATCAGAAAATTTCTCGGGTCCAAACCAGAGAAATTCAATCCAAACTATAGAAAATTCAATCAAACTTAGAGAATTTCTCTAGTCCAAACCAGAGAAATTCAATCAAAATCATAGAAAATTCAATCTAATTCAAAGAAATCAAAACATAAGTCATAGCACGTAAAACTCAAAATTCCAGTTTCCTATGTTTTCTTCAGCTTTCCAAGCAACCAAAGAGATGATATACACAAGGAAAAATGTATTTTATTGAGTTTGATACACATATAAAGATTCAATTTTGCAATTAGATTCAGGTACTCATGGTTTCCTCTTACTTTTTCACCTTCTTGCTCTTCTTCTCTTTCTTACTTTTACTCTTGCTCTTCAAATCTATCACCACAACTTCATCTTCTTAAAACGGCAACGAAGAATGATCGACCTTCGATTCTAAGTCGTTCCGTTGGTCGGAGTTACAAGCTCGTAGCATTGCTTTCTTGACGATTTTCAACCTTAGATCTTCGTTGGCTTCTTCATCGTCGTAACTACCGTTCAGTACAATACCGAGAGAGGAAAAAGGATCAGAGAGAGGAATGTGCACAAAGAAAGAGGGTTTGGTTTGGATAGAATGAAGGTCGGAGAAAAAGAGAGCATCAAATTTCTCTGATCTAATATATGGGTGTAGGTTTAGGAATCTTAGACATCAAAAAATAATATTGTAGATCTCGTCCATTACTAAAAATAGGAAAAGAACCTTAGGCTAATTTTTCCTAGATTTTTTTCTTCCTATGTACTGTGTTGAATTAAAATTTATAATAAACGATAGTTGTAATTTTTATTATTATACAACTAATACATATTTTAAACAAGCCTTATGAGTTTATTTGTAATTTGTTAAAAAATAAAAGATTTATGTTTTATAATTGACCAAAAATATTTGCGTAATCACAAAAAAATTTGTTTCATAATTGACCAAACCAAAAATATTTGCGTAATTACAAAAAAAAACTTTCATTCAACATATAGGTCACCATTAATAAATTATTCAAAATAAAAAGATAAAATCGAACAAAAAAGACAAACCTCAAGCAGCTAAACAGTTCTTATACATATATATATATATATATAATGTATATACACTCCAATTTGTTGTCAACAGTTTAGAGGGATGGATAATACACAAAATTATTGACATTAGAATAGGACTACGTGCTTTTATTTTCTTCATTTACATAGATAAGTTCTAAAATAGTTAATATTTTCACATAATTTTTTTTTGTGTGTATAAAAATAGTTTTTAAAAATTCAAATACAATCTTTTCATATTTCCTAAAAAGTGGATTATCCAATTCGTCTTGCTAAGGTAACAAGGTTCATTACAAAAAAAAAAAAAAAAAAAAAAAAAAAAAAAAAAAACAAAAAAAAAAAAACCACCTCAACTTTCCTAAACTTTATCAATAACAAGAAAGCAAAACTCGGGTGCACTATTAACAACCTTCTCGCTCGCTAGTCTTACAAAAAAGAAAAGAAAAGAAAAGAAGGCAATCAATCAAAATCAAGAAGAAAAAAAAAAGGGTTGAAAACAGTGAATCAAGACCTAAATGGATCCCTATCTTTATCTGTATCCACTGTTTTTTCTTCTCCTCAAAAACAGATGTAGAAAACAATGCATCAATCAAGTAAGACAGCCCCTCAACAGTATGCAATGGCACTTTCTTAAAAAAAAAAAAAAAAAAAAACAAAGTATGCAATGGGTTCCCATGACAGAGTTTTTACAAGAACAAATTGTAATCTTGAGAACTCTCAAAATTATTCTACAATTTCTTCTGCATAATTTTAGTACTCGTGAAATGACAACAACATTCATGGTTAAAATCGTAGAGTTTTTACAAGAGTAACTTCTAATCTTGAGAACTCTCAAAATTATTCTACAACTTCCTCTGAATAAATTTAGAACTTATGAAATGACAAGACTACTAGAAATTAAAATATTGAATTGAAAGTGTACATTGGTGGCATTAATCATAGTTTATCCCCAAACATGTGAAAGGAATTTATTGTAAGCCTCCGTTTAAGAAGTGAGTTGACTTTTTAATTTTTTAATTTTTTCAACTATTTTAGTCTGAATTAAAAAATTTGATTTGAATTTTTTTTTTTGACTTTTTAACTTTTTTTGTAAGAGAAGAATATAATATTTATAAATTAGATGTGATATTTTATTTGTTATGACTAAAATAACTTATTTTATCTTTTATGACTATTTTAACCACAAACCAACTCACCAAACAACACCTTAGCCTTATACCACTTCGTTAAAGATGATGTTGCTATATCTTAAAAAACTATAATTGTGCCATGTGCAAAGAGCAAGGATCCTCTAGAGTGATTTTTCTCTAAAGTTTCCTAAAGTGTTACAGTGTATGGTTGAGATTTACTGGCAAGTCACATAAAAAATGTGAAATTTCACTAGAGGATTGAGATACACTGTAACACTTTAAGAAACTTTAGGGAAATTTCACTCTAGAGGATCCTTGGTGATGTGGAAAGCGCGAAAAGGGCACAGAACACACAGTTGTGTCCTGTTCTCTCTACACGTCTACACTATCGGAAAACTACATAGGTCTATTAAGCAAGACTGTCAAAGGCAAAGGGAAAATGAAAAATGCTTGGGAGCACTAATTAGTGCTCCCACTAATTAGGTGACAGTGAATTCTGTCATTAATGATGTGATGTTTTGATCTTAGAGTTATATATATATATATATTTTTTTTTACTTTTTTAATGCATTAATGCTATTAGTGGTGATATTTTTAATGGAATGAATCATTGTTGCGGGAAAATATAAGAAAAAGAATGAGACCTCTAAAAGTTGAGCTCTAAATGAGCATTAAATTGTCTTTTTCCTACTCATGTTTTGTCTCTTACCTCTCCTTTTTTTTTTTTTTTTTTTTAAATGTTACTAGCTGCATACTGTTGAGGGGTGCATAAAATTAAAAATGGAAGTTTATTCAAGAAACCACTACACCATAACGATCTATTTGGAATTAAATAAAAAAGGAAATTCAATAGAAAAAGAAATTGAATAAAAATGGAAGTTGACAAAAAATAAAAATGGAAGTTGCATAAAATTAAAAAGGGCAAATTACATATACACCCCTCGAGGTTTGGCTAAATTACAGATACCCCCCTGAGGTTTGAGAAATTACGAATTCCCCCCTGAATGCTATATTTGCATAAGAAATTAGGGGGTAATTTGTTATGAAATATAAACCTCAGGGGGTAAATTGTTATGAAAATACAAACCTCAGGGGGCGGGATGTAATTTCCGAAACCTCAGGGGGGTATCTGTAATTTAACCAAACCTGGAGGGGTGTATATGTAATTTGCCCTTTATGATAAAAGTCTGCATCTCCAACAACTAACTACCAAGTTAAGAAACATAGATTATTGTCTAATAGGACAAACTCAAAAAATAAAAAGGTTAATTACACTAAAATCCCTTCAATTATTAGTGAATATTCCATTAACCTCCTCATCCATTAAAACAATTCATATTAACCCCTCAATTATAAAAACCGCAAAAATGTCTACTTCTGTTGAAGAAAGAGTTTATAGATGAGGAGGGTAAATTGACATTGGCTACTAATTAAGGGAGCCTCAATATAATTAACCCAAAAATAAATACAAACCAAACTTTCCTCAAACCTAGTACCTACCCACCAAAATAAAGTCGTCGTCATCAAGAACCTGAACATCCTTTTCACCTACGAAATTTTCCCTCCCAATTTCCTTCACTAAATTCACAAATTCTACCCTCTTTGCCAAAGGAAGTGGTACATAAGGTAGCCGGAAAACCGGCCTCACAACCCCGAGTTGAGCGAGTGCGGTGTTTAATCCGATGGGATTAGGCTCATGGAAAAGCCACTCAATTAAAGGCATGAGTCGTGCATTCAAAGAAGGGTTTTCGCCCTCAAACATGAGTTGTCGCATCAAACCTGGAATCAAATTGCTAGCGACAGATATCACTCCAGTAGCACCACGGCTCCATCTTGAATCGTGGCACTGATCATCATTCCCACTCCACACCACAATTCCATTTTTTGTATACTGTTCTACCCGGTCATGTCCAACACACTCTTTCCCTTTCACACCCGCCAAATTAGGACTCTGTGACACGGTGTGAATCACAAGTGGGGGAATATCTTGGCCAGTTCTTGAGGGAACATTGTATATAATAGAAGGACCCATGGGGAGAACACTTTGAAAGTGAGCAACCAAACCTTCCAACGAGGTTTTTCCATAGTACGGATTGATGTGAAGAGCAGCGTGCATTCCGACGGCAAAACCTTGTTCGGTTGCGTGGATTGCTTCCCGTGTCGAGTTACTTCCAGTGTTGCCGATAACCTTGATTGATGCACCAAAACAGTTGACCGTGTGACCGATGAGCATTATGTGCTCATCCCAACTCATCAATTGACCTTCACCAGTTGTGCCGCCTACAATCACACCTTCGGCCCCATGTTCAATCTGCATGTTCACCAAGTCATCGTACGCTTCGAGATCAAACCTGCCATCTGGTAAATATGGTGTTTTAATGGCAGTAATTAATCTTAGAGACTTTATGTCCTCGGTAGATGTCCTGCATACAAATGAAAAGTATATAACCATCTATTACACCAAACTTGCAAACCAAATATCAAACAACTTCTATGAAGTGCATCCAATAGAAATCCATTGAAAGTTTTGATATTTACCCTACCATTAATAATATAAAATTATATAACAATCAATCAGACTCTATTCAAGTGTTGAAATTGATTTTGAACAAGCACACAAGATCATTATGATAAAAATCCAACAGGCAAAATTGTTGAGTAGGGAATTTCCTTAATCATTTGTGTGTAATTTCCTATGGCATTTGAACACAATGCATAGACCTCTATGGTGGAGCTATCACCACATGTGCAAAACGATATCTAACAAGACCAATGGGTTGACCAATGGGTTGGCCTAGTGGATGAGGCGCGCTCCCTTACCAGTCGTGATGGTTGGGTTCAAGTCTCACCGTTGTGCAATGCTACTTCCCCTTCCCCTATTTCTCTCCTACCGATTGCAAAAAAAAAAAAATGCGAACACATCATCATCATATAAAACCTGAAACAAAGTGAGCAGTGCCAATTGCTATGTCCTAATACAATAGATTTATTCCTGCAGGGATGGGGAGCAGGGATGCAAAAGAGAATCACTATAAAAAAAATAAAATAAATAAAAAGCACAGCCACTCTTGAGTGAACTTTTTAAAAATAATAATACCAAAATAACAAGAAAAATGAAAAAAGGCACACAAAAAATTTAGAAGCTCCTCCATTCCAATATGAAAATTTGCATAATCATATTCAGACAATATTTAGCTTCAGCTTTAATATCAAATTTAGTATCAAAACGGAGCCAGAGACAATCTGTGCATGCATGTTAAAAACTGAAAGTCCCATACTAAACTTTATTTTTGTTGTATTATCTGTGGGCCCACAGGACCAACCAGCCCACAGGATGGGCTCACAACACACCCTCTTCTCCTTCCCCCAAGGGTACTCAAACACTACCCTTCCCAATGGGAAGGGAAAGGAGATACAGTCAGCTTTAGCTTATAGGTTACCTGTTTTTAACCTCCAAGCTACGCATAGGGAGATGAAAATTAGGGATTATGGCTGCTTGTGGAGACCTCCAACCTCCATTCCTCCTGCTTAGTAGCAAAAGAAAATTACATTAGTGTAGCCCACAAGGCAAAAGAAATAATTGTTGCAAAAAGAATCACAAGTATCTATTTCAGAATTGTCAGTAGCTAATCTTTGACTTGTAAACAAGCCTAAAACTTCATCCACGATATCCAAAATAATACACAACAAAGAAATGACTCTTGATCCAATAAATAAATAAAGTCAACCCTACTAATCTGAGATGCATCCATTTAGCAGCCCTAAACTGGGAAAAAAACTTCAATGCAACAGTGATATACAGATGACGTAGTATCACCATCCAATAACATCTCAGTAGGCATATGTAGCAAGCTAAAAGTAGGGGTTCATCCCTCCAATATAGGGTTCATTGTTTGTTGGTGATACCACGTCAACAGTATCACCATTACATTGACGTTTTACTCCCTAAACTGAGGAAACTCTAAATTCTAGCTCCATTTTGGGCATCCTCACCCACCAAGACAAAAAGATCTGAAAATCGTGGTAGCAACAAACATAAGTCGAGATGAGTGTAATGACTGGGTATTTCTTTTAATGTAATTATCGTATTTTTCCCGAGCTTGTTGTGTTAATTACTTTGCACACATGTGAGTTGGTTGGCACTTAAATTAATCTTCATTTGCTAGTGTTGTACATGTCTTGATTAGCATTGCACAACAACAGTTTTGTTCTGCTCAATTTGGAAAGCTTCAGAAATAGTTGTACTGAATGTCTAAGCTTATCAACGATGGTTTCGACAAAAATTTGAAATAAAATAGGAGGCTTCTGAATGTTATGTGAGGTTTAAAGGTTGTGTTCTTAAATAGTAAGATAAAGTCGATGCAAACAAGAAGCAACCATTTGGATAGCAGCATAAAATAGTGTTCTACAAATTCACATCTTAATAATTCAATGTCTTGTTGTGTTCAAGCTATAATAGCAAAAATCTTTAGCTTGACATTTTAACAATCAACTCATGCATGCTTTATCCATTTTTTTTTTTTTTTGAACAGCAACAACACAATTATATTGAAACAAAAGATGACCACAAGGCGGGGACAAGAAGTCCTCATACAATGGCAAGAACTCAAAGCTAAAAACATTGAAAAAACGAAAACAAAACATAAAACTTTCCACCACTAAGTCAGGCAAAGAGCAGCCCAATCCCTAGAGATCAAAAACAAAGGGATATTCTTGAAAGGGGGGAGACACATTAGCCCATACTGAGGCCAGATGCCTCAGCCTATCCCACATAGCTTCCTCTTCTGATTCCTTCTCATTAAAAATCTTTTCATTTCTTTCCAACCAAATGGTCCAAAAAATAGAGAAGACGATGCAAGACCACAATATTTTAGCCTTCCTATTGCATCCAAACCCACCATAGAAAACTAACAGCATATGCATGCACATCCACAGACAACCCAGCGAACATTACAAAGTCCAAAGAGACGCTGCTATAATGCAAGAGCCACAAAGTAGTGTAGAATAAATGATCCAGCGATTCACATCCCTCTTACACATTATACGCCATTGAGGACCAAGAGAATGATTGGACCTTCTCCTTTGGAGATGATCATTGGTTATGACACTTCCATGAGCTAAGGACCACATGAAAAACTTCAATTTATGAGGAACAACTGCTTTCCAAATTTTTTATGAAACGGAAACAAAGGAATGAAAGGAACATCAATAATTCTATCAAACATAGATTTACATTAGAAAACCCCCAAAAGAATTGATGTTCCATATACCCTCTTATCCCTTAATTGAGGCACCATAGAGATCCCATCAGGCAATGACAACAAAGAAACCAACTCAAGTGACTCCCCATCACTTGGATTCCCAATGAAATCGAAGTTCCAGGAAATTGGTGCCGTATTAGAACACGCCATCAACGCATTTTTATAAAAATGTGAGTTCCAGATGCTTCACAAGAATCAAATTAAACATCTAACAACTGTAAAGCCATTGATGGACTTGATAATATAGCTCAGATAAAATTAGATAATAGCTAGAAAAAATAACTGAGCAACCGAAATCAAAATATTTCCAAATCGAAATATTAAAACAGGCTAATAAAGAGACACACATAGCAAAATCTGAAAACCTTTTTGAGGATGCAGGATCCATTCCCTCCGGTATGCAGCCAATCGACCTCAAATATTGTGAGTTTGTGGTATGAAGCTTCCCATGAAGCAGAATCTGAGCCATCTTTCACCTTTACAAGCATATGAATAAAATGCCTCATTCATTTCTCAATATAATCACTCTAAAATAATCAACCAAAAAAAAACAATATGATATGTTTCCAACAAAATCATGAGCATTTGAACTCAAATAGTAACCCAAAATAGACACAGAAGCTAGTGGAAACATAAACTAAGTAGACAATGCAATCATTGACCAAAACCCAAAAAGAATATTAAAATAAATAAATAAATAAAAAAAAACTATAGATGATTCCAATACTTAAAGGCGATGTTTGATTAGTAGGATTATAACATAGGATTGGGGGTTGTTAGTCCATGAGCTCACAATCCCATGTTTGATTGTAAATTTTATTAACCAGATTACATGTACGGCGGACATTCAATCCAACGAAATTGGCGAATTTTTAATATTGAGAGGGGTTGGGGATCATAATTTCAAGTATGAAAAAAAAAAAATACATAATAAATGGTTATCTCACTAATTTAATTGGATAACTAATCCTATACTAATTCATGGGATTATTAATCCTTTCACTATTAATCCTATTAATCAAACAAGGCCAAAAGACCCAGCTTATTCCATCTAATAGTTGACAATGCTTTTTCAATATCATCAACCAAAAACTAAAAAGCAATAAAAAAAAAATAACTACATAGACACAAAAACAAAACACAAAATAATCTTAAACATATATATCACATGATTAGCCTTATCATAAAATATACAGTTTCACTCATATTATGCTGAACCCATAGAACTACACACCAATCATTAAGGCCGTGTTTGGTTCATGGATTTGGATAGGGATTTGAAAAATGGAAGGAAAAAGGTAAGTAAAATGTGAATGAAATATAACTACATTTCACACACTTTCACACATTTTCCTTTTCTTTTTCTCTTTCCAAATCACTTCTCAAATCCATGAACCAAACAAGGCCTAAAAAAAATACAATTTTACTTAGATTGTGCCTAACCAACTATAAAGACTACCTTAGATCTGTTTGAGTTTGCAATATGAAGCTTCCCATGAAGCATGATCTGAGCCATCTTTCACCTTTACAAGCACATGAATAAAATGCCTGTTATTTATATCATTTTATTAAAAATATTATTTATTTTATTTTATTATTTATTAGATATGGTTAGTGGTAAGGGTCACGGCAGTGTTTTAAAAGGCGCGCGCCTAAGCCCCAGGCGCAATGAGGCGCAGCCTTGCGCTTTGAACAAGTCAAGGCGAGGTGCAATACGCAAGGCAAAGCTTAGGTGTTGAGGCGAGGGCTTTATTTGAGGCACGAGGCGTGGGTTTCATGAGCTGTGCCTATTTTTCTACTCCAACTATTGATTAAGTGCTTTTTTTGTGCGCATGCATACCCATAGGGAATCAAAACTCTTCAATATAAAATGACCAAACGTGGTCAAAAGAGAGCAGAAAGAGATAAAAGATTGAATGTTATACTTTATATCTTTTATTAGATATTATATTTGTAATTTTTAGAAGATTGAACGTTATATTCAAAAATTATCTGAAATGGTTATGATTTTTGAAATTATATATATATATATATATATATATATTTGTTATGGTGAAAAGTTTGCCTATTTTATAATTTTGTTTTCTTGCTACTACTTGCGCATCGATTTGGTGAGGCACGCGCCTCGCCTCACGCCTTGCACTTAGGCTATGGGAGACCTTATTGTCTCGGTGCACCTAGAGCCTTTTAAAATACTGGGTCATGGGATAGTGGATTAGTGGGTAGTTTTCCTACCTTATAGGCTGATGGTTTAGTGGGTTGTAGTTTTTGTGTCTATAAACCATCTCTATTAATGAAATAAGAGAAGAAGAATATTATCAGAAGTCTTCATTTGTGAAGAACAAGAGGTCAGGTTCTCCTCAATGTGAGCCACCAAGAGGTCTTCCCTCTCAAAGTGGATCTTTCTCCCCTATTTCTTTTGTTTTTTATTTTTGTTAATTTTGTTAACAAGAAAATATGTAACATTGCCTCACTCGTTTCTCAATATAAACACTCTAAAATGATCAACCCCAAAAAAAAACCATACGACATGTTTCAAACAAAATCATGAAAATTTGAACTCAACTAGTAACCCAAAACGACAGAAAATCATTGCTACAGCTTTATAGTACCATCATCCACAAACCCAAAGCTACAATTTTAATAGCATAAACACAAACTATGTAGACAATGCTTTCGATATCACTGACCAAAAACCCAAAAGAATATATAAATATATATATAGATGATTCCAGCACTTACAAACCCAATTTATTCAATCCAATAGTAGACAATGCTTCAGATACCATCAACCTAAAAAAAAAAACAATAACTATAAAACACATAAAATAAACTTAAACATAGGCCCATCAAAAATAAAAATACAATTTGTATAGTTTTATGCCATGTTACATGGACCCTTCAAAATAAGTCAAATACCCGTGTCAGACACCCGACACTCGGAGAAAGGTGCGGGATATGTGTATGGTGCTTTCCACTGGACACTTCTCATATATTTGTATTTAATAATAGGCCCATCACATTTTTGACATTGTATGTTATATATAGTATCATTTTCTCTCACATAATAGATTAAAAATATTTTGAATTATCAAACAAAATCAGCCAACCAAGCAATAACTATAAATAAGCCCAAAAAAGCAGATCATGAAGGACAAAACAATATACTTTCTGTATTTGAGAAGAAAGCTCAAAAAAATATTCAAATAATAAATAGTAAATTTTTTTTTAAAAAAGAACAAATTTAAGCCAAATTACCATGAGATCTTAACTACATTATAAAAGCGCTCTCAAATCTATAAAAAAAACAAAGAAACAAAAAAAAACAGAGGGCTCAAAACAACCAAATTAGCTGCAAAAAGCACCAATCAAATAGCAAATATGTGAAGAATAAGAAGCAAATCAAGAACATAATTAACAGATAATTCACCTTAGAGACTTGTTTGATCGTTGGGGACTTCGCTTTCTACAGAGGAGGATCGAGTCTGAGAAAGTGATACTAGTACTTATCTATCTTGATAGGGTTTTTATTTTTCAAAAATATATTATTATTTATGGACTCTCTAAATTCTCGCATCTCTATCAGCCACATGTCCAAACTCAGATCCAATGACTCACATACATTTGTACTCTTAAAATTCAGCCACGTGTCCAAAATCAGATCCAGTGATTGGCAGAAGAAATACATACACACAGACAAACATATTTTTTTGTAGTGTACAAAAATATTTTGTGTTAAATAGTAAAAAAAAAAAAAAAACACATCATTCACATACTGGATTATCTTTTAAATAATCAAAACACATGATTCACAATATATATATATATATATATATATTGATTCAGATAAAGAAGAGTTCTTCAAAACACAAAAAAATCCAAAACACAAACAGACCTCAACGACGATGTGGCAACCGCAGCCGGAGATGTTGCCAAAGAAGGTGTTGCGAAGGCCGATCACCGGTCGCCAGAGAGAGAGATGGAAGAACGAGTACTGCTCTGCAGCTGCTGAGAGATTAGGGTTTGTTTCGGCCAAAAAATCTAAGGCTGTATTGGAAAGAAATTAAAGGTGCAGGTTTTTTAAAAGGTAAAACCTTTTTCCCATGTTCGATTCACGAGATGTGTGTTTTTTGTTAGGCTCATTCACGAGCTGTGTTTGATTCACGAGATAGCGACTATATTAATAATTTCTAATTAGATTAATAAGATAAATTATTATTTTTATTTATTGTTTGATTTATATTCAATAAGAAAATATATAAATATACAATCATAGTTATATTTATCTTTTTTTCTAATCTTACCCTTCATCAATGTTTTTTCGCAATTTTTATTTTATTAAAATTTATTTATAAATGTGATTTTGAAAAAAAATTTAAATAAATAAATAAAAACAAAATAAAAATACAAAATACTATGTTTGTGTTTGGTTTGTTTTTTATTTTTTTTAAAAAATATAAACTAATTTGATAAAATAAATATCAAAAAATATTTTTTAATTTTTAAAAATTATTTTTAACCTTCTAAAATATAAAATTATATAAAAATAATAAGTGTTTTCATTTTTTGTCAAGAGTAAAAGAGTCTTTTTATTTTATTTCTCACCTCAGTATATATAACTCCACTCTCACTCTATAACTAATAATTCTACAAATTTGTTAGATTAATTATCTATTGGATTAGTAATCTTGAAACAAAATTACAAAATAAACTCATGATTATTGGGCTCATGAACTAATAATCTCAATTCCATATTTTAATCCTGTCAATCAAATATTTGATTAAAATACGAATTGTCTTTTGTGATTTTAGAAATTATATTTCATTCCTTAAAATTTTTAATTTCATAACAAATTACTTATTTTATTAATAAATTATCAGGTCAATTAATTATTTTTAATGACGTTAGAAATATGTTCCAATTAATAATTTAAGTATTTTATTATTGTATAAGAGAGTAATTATGAATTTTATTTTTTTTAGTTAATTATATTAAATAAAAAATTCTAACAAAGGGGGTTTATTTTCTTAGTTAGTTTTATTAAATAAAAATTTTTGATAATGAGATAGTTATAATTTTTCAAATTATAGGAGTAATTTGTATTTTAAACAAATCTCAGTAATATATTTGTAATTTACTATTTTTTTTTTTTAAATGTATAAGTGCGGGCGGATGTGTTCCTGGTATGGATAAAACTCAAGATGTGTCTATAATCTACAATCATGCTATATTTCAAACTACATTCAATCTTATTATATCTATAAAACCGTCTATTTATATATGAATTTTTTCTAATTATATCTATAAAACCGTCTATTTATATATGAATTTTTACAAGGTAGACAACTCTATACTCTGCCATAATATGAATGGATAAAATATGAAGCGAAAGTCATCCCAAAAAATAAAAATAGTTTGTCATATGCTTTTTATTATTGTTGGCTACACATTTTGTGCTAGCCAGTGACAATTCGACGCGTGGCAAAGTGAGGGTAATATGGGGAGACCAGGTAGGTCTTCGATCCTGATCAGACACGTGGCAATTAATATTGGTTGTTATAAGATCTGAGTAGTAGCGGATCAACAAAGAGACGTATAGTGACGTGGCTTCAACGGTTGCTCACATTCAAATTCGAATATAAGGGGGAAGCCTAACTGCAAGTGAAGGCGTAGTGGAGCTACTTATAACGTAGCATGATCAGCGACTATGGAGGAGCAATTCGACGGTTTGAAGTACAATTCGATGGTTATCTTCGGAAAGTATAAATAGCAGGAAGGACTTCAGAGAAAAGACGAAGAAAAGATCTAAAGAATTACTTTACATATTCCAGTGTTATTTCCTGTCCTTTATATTTCTGTACTTTAAGTTCCTGCGCTGCACTTCATTTGTAGGAGTAGTTTTCGAGTATATTGCCGCTGTAATTCTCTACGGAACTAAGATCATTGTAAGTTTTTCATACTAATAAAATGCTTCAGTTTATTTAACTGTTCTTATGCTCAAGTTCTCTGAAGTCAAATTACTAGTAAGCCACCAGTAAAAGTCCTCTTTATTGAGGCCGAAAGAACCATAACATAATTGTCTGAATAATTGTTTGGCAATTATAATTCTGTAAGGACTGATTGATCTTTACTGGCACGCTCATAATTACAAAAGTAACCTTCGAAAGCCAAAAAGCCAACATATATTTTTGGCACGCCCAGTGGGACACTTTAAAAAATGGCTAGACGTAGGAGACAAGGAGAAAATGAACGTTTGGAAGAAGGCGTGGAAGGAGAAGTAATTTTAGGAAAAAAAATTAAAAAAAAATAATAAGCATTATGACTGAATGATAATTTTTTTTTTTTTTAATAATTTTTTAATTTTTAAATTAAAACTGTTACCTGACAAACAAAACGGTAATACAATCTACTCATACAATAAAACTATTTTAATAAAATTTAAGAATCCGAAAAAGATTATTTTATTAGGTAAGAATTCAATTTTGTTCGGCTCTGTCACCCACCCACCAGTGAGAAGGCGCCGCCACTGGTGTCTAGAGTTGAAAATTTTTGGGAGTTTACGATTTAAATAAGGTAAATTATAAGGAAAATACTTTTCTTTAGTTAGGAAAATTAAGGGTAAATTACCAAATATGCTGATATAAGGATTTGTTTTTTTATTTAATCTCACAATTTTTTTCGTATATACTCAAAAGTTCTAATTTTTTTTTTTTTTTAATATACACTCACCACCGACGACCATAACTTAAGGGTTGGTTTGAGAAGTGAGTTGACTTTTTGACTTTTTTAACTATTTTAGCATTGGCTAAAAAGCTTAATTTGGGAAGGGCTTTTTAATTTTTTTGACTTTTTTGACCTTTTTTATGAGAAAAGAGTGTAATGATTATGGGTTGAATTTGATGTTTTATTTGTTATGGCTAAAATAGCCTATTTTAGCCAAAAAAGTCCAAAAATCTTTTCCCAAACAGAGGCTAAGACTCATTTATTTTCTTTTTGATATACATTCATCTGCGACCATGATCAATTGGGATTCACCGGCAACCACCAACCACCAACCACCAACTCCTTACTTTGCCATCACTGATAGCAAATGAGATGAGTTTCCGGCTATATTCTTGACGTAAATCTACTCAGATCTTGCCAACATCACAAGATAAGATTCAGTAGAATGTTCAGATTTAGAACATATCTGAATAGATCTTGGAACAATCTTTTGGGTAGAAGCATAAACTAGAAACAAATCAAACTATGAGGACATAATTTCTGGTGTCATCCACATGGCTGAGGTTCACCGTCGTCAAGATGTCATGTGGATAAGCTTTGTTGCCGAGATGTCATGTAGGTAAACCGTTGTGCTAAGATGTGATGCGATGTTATTGGGGTTCGAAATAAATGAATAGAGAATAAGAGTCCTAAATGAGTTGAGACACTCTGTTTGGATATAGATGAGACTCTTAATAGAGATCATTCTTATCTAGATGAGAGTCTAGGATAAGTGTAATCCTTAAGTCCTATGAAGTAAGATTTTTCGGGAACGAGGACACTGTTTAATTATAAAAGTAAGGCACCTCATGTGTCTAAGGTACGCTTTTCATTACGAGCTATTTACTTGGGCTGTTATTCTGTGAGACTATTAACTAACTTGATCATCGGAGTGCCCCGATGAATGAGCCACCACGTTATTTCTTATCTTCTTGTACGCAAGTGCTGACTTAATCTATTATTTCTTGTGCTCTCCAGCTAACTTCCCTAGATCTCAATGGAGAGATCTGTTTGGTTGTAAGGTTGAAAATCAAAATCCAAACAAACAAATAAAATAAATTAACCTACAGAAGTTATTTATATTCCGAGAACGACAAGAACTTCGAAGATCAAGTCGAATGTGTGACACTCTATTCTTAAGACAGATTTACCGCTGCGCAGGCACTTACCGATTTGAAATCGTCTATCTCCCAAGATACAATGATCAAACACAAGATTGAAGCAAGCACTGCAATCAATCTTCTAGCAAACCAAAACCTATGTTTTGTAACTCTCAAAAATGTCTCTAAAACTAATATGAAAAGAAGAAAAAATGGGAATAATTTAATTAATTGAACTACTTGAGGGATCTATATTTATAGGCATAGTGGTAACTGTTCAGAAGGGTAGAAAAACCCTCCAAACTGGTGTGAGTTTAAAACTGTGGGAGATGAAGAGACGTGACAAAAGAAGATGAATGGAGAGGCACTGTTTCGAATTTGAAAATTCAAATTCGAAATTTTTTGGCAAATTTTTTGAATTAATTCGTTTCAGAAAATAAAATTTTCCCGTAAGAATTTGAAACTTTTCAAACAAATTTTGTCTAGAAAATTAAAGGCATGACCCGACCCACATCCCACACCCATGCCAACAAGCTGTGGCATGCGTGTGTGGTGTTGAGTTCCAAGTAATACTTGGTCCATAACTCCCCTCCACAAAACTTGAATTCCCCTTAGGCCCATCCTAAGTGTGCAAACTTAGTTTATATATTCGTATAAAAACTCTTCTTATTTCAATGTAGGACACCATAAATAGAACCCATATTGTTTCTTCAACTTCCAACTTCACAAAGCTAAATATGTCACCACTTGGACCCACCTCAAAAGACATGTGGGTGTCGCTTGAATTTAGGCTCAAAGTTGGCCCAAAATAAGCCTATAAAACCAATTTTCCAACATATCTGATCCAGCTAGATCTAAACCAAAAATGATTGTTGAAGTACAATTCTCTCTTTATATCTGTCTTTTTCCTTCGATCTCTCAGTTTTTATTTTTCTTTTTTTCTCTGCTACATACTTCTCTTTTCCTATTTTAAAATATAGAAAATTTTAAAGTTCTAAATAAATATTTTTTGAGCTTTAGTTATAACGGATGAAAACTGTAAAAATTTTCAGTTTCAATTTTTCAAATACTGAAATGAATCATGTTTTAAAACTATAAGATTTTACATTTTCATAACATGCTTTTACGTAAAATTTTACAATTCATAAAATATTTTTCGGTTTGAGAAGTAAGGAGAAATTTTCCCCATTGTTATTATTTTTTGTTGTTACATTTTTTCTTTTCTTTCAGTTTGTCAGTATTAGCAAATGTTGCTATGTTTTTTTTGCTCTAAATTCTTCATTTATTTTATTTTTTTCAGCAATATTTTAGACATTTCAATGAGTCTCAAGCAATTTTCTTGACGTCCAGCGATGCTCTGAGCATTCTGACGACTTTTGGTGACGTTCAGAACACAATGGTGTTACTTTGGTGACTTCCTAGTGATATTGGACATTCTGACGAGCCTCTGGTGATTGTTTGACGGAAGTCCGACAGAGGTTCGACAGTGGTGAGATGTGCAACGTCCTTAAATTTAAAAAAATAAAAATTAAGATTTTTTTGATAACAATTAAAAATATGTAAGACTAATTGGTGTAAGCGTTTTATTTTGAGACTAGATGAGTTTTGAACTATGCAAAGAGGACTTGCAGGTTAATGCCCCAAAAATCATTTGGAGGTGTTGTTTGGTCTTTGTGGGCTCATTATAGACCCCACATCAATAATTCGAACCGGTCAATGTATAGAACTCTCGAATACTTTATTCCAAAAAAATTAAATTAACATATATTAATAGCCACTTGATCAGATCACATTTATGTCAATAATTAATTTTTGAAATTGTACTTACTGTTGATATAAATGTGATTTAATCATGTGGATATTAATATCTGATCAACATAATTTTTGTAGATATAAAATACTTGACAAGTCCTACACATTGAACGGTTCAGAATGTTAACGTGAGTTTCATGGTGGGCCCACGAAGGCCCAACAATACCATTTTTTGGGTAAGTGCCTAACAGTACTCTCCAATCCGATTTTAAATGAGAGAAAAGCCTCCTCTCCCAAATTATAATTGTGATAATTTTATTAAAAAATTACTTATAAATATTTTTTTCAAAAGGTCAGTGAATTTTAATTCCTATTTAAACAACTTCCAAAATTATTAGAAAAACCCATAATCAGTTTAATTTATTTTTTGGAGTTTATGATTTCACATTTTATTATGGGCTATGTACACTAAGACCCCTAAATTATGAGAAATATCATTTTGACCTTCTAAACTATAAAAACGTACAAATAGATCTCCTAAACTATTGAGAAGTATCATTTTGGCCTCTATATTATAAAAGTGTATAAATATTCTTAAATTATAAAAACGTACAAATGGACCTCCTAAACTATTGAGAAATATCATTTTGCCCTCTATATTATAAAAGCGTACAAATATCCCTAAATTATAAAAATATACAAATTGGACCGTTAACGGGGATTAAAGTGAAATACGCCAATAGTTTATGAGATCTATTTATACATTTTTATAGTTTATGAAGGCAAAGTGATCCTTTTCAGTAGTTTAAGGGGTTCATTTATATACTTTTGAAGTTTAAGAGGTCAAAGTAATATTGTCTTGTTAGATGCAGGGTCTCTTTTTTCGTAATTCTTTTATCCCTAACTTTGTTCAATCTAAAAAATAAATAAATAAATAAAAATTTAAAGAGTCTTTGTGTAAATAACCATTTTATTATGTAGTAAATAATAAGTGAATTTAGAATCTATTTTTTTATTTATTTTTGTATAAAAACTAAATACAATTTAGAAAAATAAATAAATAATTTAAAAATACTTTTAATTTTCATATAATTTTACGTTTTTTGAGCAAAAATAATTTTTAACAATTTACAATTTGTTTGTTATTTATTTTTATTAAAAGAATTTTGAAATTGAAACTAAACATAGGTTAAATGTAGGGATTTGTATGCCAGGGTTTTAAATATTGCCCTTTAAATATCACATTAGTCACTTATCAGTTCGATACTATCCAATATTAATTAATTCTGAAATGATTTACAGCTCTAAATTTATCACTAGTGAGGTGAAAAAAAAAAAAAAAGTTGCAGCACACACTGTGACAACCGGTGAGATCCACCATCAAATCATTAGTGATAACACTAATAAATGGTTTCAAGCATTATTATAATTATGACTTACTATACATGCTGTGATAGTGTCATTTAAAACTATGACTCCATCAGCCAAATATGCATTGAATAATGGACAACAACTCTGCTTGGCACAACATCATCATTTAGAAAGAAGATTCTGATTTGGGTTCTTTGAAAAATGTTCGGTTGTCCAAAAATATAGGGCTCAAAAATAGCAAAATGATTTCGTTTTACACCTATAACAATGTCATTTTGGGTGTTTCGAGTCATTCGAACCACATATTTTCGAACCACTAACCATTGTTGTTTTATTTATTCTTTCTTGTCTTGCTCTTTCTTTGTCTTCGTACTCATCTGTTTGAATTTGGATATTGATCACATAAATATTTATCTAACTTTCTTTTTTTTTTTAGATTGTGATTTACTTGTTTTGAAGTAGATTTTTTATTATTATTATTTTTTCAAATTTTTTAAAAAAATGATGCATTTAATTATTGTGATGGTTGCAGTATGGTAGTACTGGTGCAGATAGTGATTATTGGAATGAATTGGGTACGGGAGATGGTGAAGGTGGTGGGCTAATGGTGGTGGAAGAGCTGGTGGGGGGCAGCGGGGGAGGTAGTGGTGGTGGATTCCTTATTTTGTTGTTTATTTATTTATTTTTTTGTCTAAATTCAATTGGTACTTATCTTTAATTCATTTAAGAAAAACTTTTATGGGTTTAGATACTTTCAAGTAGGCTAAATTGGATAAATTCGTAGTTTCATATTAACTATATTACTGTTTAATTTTAAAATTCGTTTTTTTGGACAAAAAATTTTTGAAAAGTATTTTTTGATGTTTGGTACATTAGAAAATGAAAGTCAATAGAAAATATTTTTCATAGTGAAAACAAGTTTACTTAGGCAGAAAATATTTTTTACTTTTAAAAGGGAAAAAACATTTTTTGAATTAAAATTTTACCATTCTCACCTCTACCACCACATCACTCTTACCTCCACCACTATACAACCATCACCATGGCCATCACTACCATTATCATCGCCATCGCTGCCATCGTCACCCCACCACCATGCCATCACCTCCACATTCGTTGTACCACCACTACTACCAAATATAAAAATATGTGTTCTCCGAAAAATATTTTATAGAATAAGTTTTTCATAGATTATGTTTTTCATTAAAAAATATTTTTCATCAAAATAAACAGAATATTAAAAAAAAAAAATCGCATAATCACTATTTATAAAAATTGATAAATTAGTAACAAAATTTTGTGAATTGCCATTCACTTTCCATATTTTACTTTCGGCAGCCCACACAAAGCCGCAGCGTGGAGAGGAGATAGCTAATATAATTATGTCAATTAATTATATCCAAAATTATTGGGAAAATTATTGATAAATTTCATTTAGAAGTGTTTTAACTTAAGAAGTTCATAAAAAAATTTTTTAACCCATTTAGTCCCACGTATGTATAGTTTTATTCCATAAAGTCTTTTTTCTTGATTTACACTATTTTCTTGAAGACTTATGCCCTTATATTTAATTTTGATACCATTATAAATATTTTTTGAACGGTTAGCAATTTTATAATGTAAACATTCATATTTTAAAATTCACATTGGTAGGAATGTAAAATTGGCCCGTGAGCGGTCCGAAACCCGTCTGCGAGCCTGGGTGGGCCTGGCCCGTTGACAATGTAAATATTCACATTAACATGTTAACATTCACATTAATAGGAGTGTAAAATTGGCCCACGTCCCGTGGCGGCGCGAAACCCGCCCGCGGCTCATGGGCGGCCCGGGGCGGGCCCGGTCTAGGCCGTTGACAATGTGAATATTCACGTTGACATGTTAACATTCACATTGATAAGAGTATAAAATTAGTCTGCGGCCCATGGGCGGCCAAAAGCCCGTCCGCGGCCCATGGATAGGCCCGGCCCGGCGACAATGTGAATATTTACATTGACATGTTAACATTCACATTGATAAGAGTATAAAATTGGCCAACGTTCCGTGGGCGGCCGAAAGCCCGCCTACGGCCCAGGGCGGGCCCGGCCCGACCCGTTGACAATATGAATATTCACATTGACATGTTAACATTCATATTGATAGGAGTGTAAAATTAGTCGGCGCCACATGGTTGCCTGAAACTCGCCTACGGCCCGTGAGAGGCCCGGGGCGGGCCCGGCCCGTTGACAATGTGAATATTCACATTCACATGTTAATATTCACATTAATAAGAGTATAAAATTGGCCCGCGCCCCGTGGCTTCCCAAAACCCGCCCATGGCCCGTAGGCAGCTTGGGGCGGGCCCGGCCCGGCCTGTTGACAATGTGAATATTCACATTGACATGTTAACATTCACATTGATAAGAGTATAAAATTGGCCCGTGCCCCGTGGCTGCCCGAAACCCGCCCACAACTTGTGGAGCGGCCCGGCCCGGCTTGTTGACAATGTGAATATTCACATTAACATGTTAACAATCACATTGATAAGAGTATGAAATTGGCTCGCGGCCCATGGGCGGCCAAAAGCCTGCCCGCAGCCCGGGCGCGGGCCCGACCGAACCCAACCCATTGACAATGTGAATATTCACATTGACATGTTAACATTCACATTGATAAGAGTGTAAAATTGGCCCGTAGCCCGTGGGCCGCCCAAAGCCCGACCGCAGCCCGAGGCGGGCTTAGCCCGACCCGTGACAATGTGAATATTCACATTGACATGTTAACATTAACATTGATAGGAGTGTAAAATTTGCTCGCTGCCTGAAGCTCGCCCGCGGCCCAGGGTAGGCCCGGCCCGGCCCGTTGACAATGTAAATATTCACATTGACATGTTAACATGCACATTGATAGGAATGTAGAATTGGCCTGCCGCCCGTGGGCTGCTCGAAGCCCGCCCACAGCTCGGGGCAGGCTCGTTTGGGTCCGGGCCCGAGCATGTCCGAGACCCTAGGCTAGAGTCTAGGCCATCACTTTGAAGCCTGGCCCGGCCCATCGGCTCGCTTAAGGCCCATTCAAGGCTCGGTCCGAGGCCCAGTCCGCCTGAGACATAATGTCTTTTTTTGTGGAAAATAATAAAATTTTGGTAGAAAAAATTAAAAAGAATTAAAAAAAAAATGGCCAGGCCCGCCCAAGCCCGGCCTAAGCTCGAGCCTAAGCCTAGGCCCACCGACCCAACCCGAGCTTGTCGTCTTCGGGCCGTGGGCCAATTTTACACTCCTATCAATGTGAATGTTAATATGTCAATGTAAATATTCACATTGTCGCGGGCCGGGCCGGGCTCACCCCGGGCCGCCCACGGGCTTCGGGCCGCCCATTGGACGCGAGTCAATTTTACACTCTTATCAATGTGAATGTTAACATGTCAATGTAAATATTCACATTATCAACGGGCCGGGCACGCCCCGGCAACGGGCAAGCTTCGGGCCGCCCACAGGCCGCGGGCTAATTTTACAATCCTATCAATGTGAATATTAATATGTCAATGTGAATATTCACATTGTCACAGGCCGGACCGGGCTCGCCCCGGGCCGCCCACAAGCCGCGGGCTAATTTTCTCCTTTTTGTTCAATATATGTTACACATATTTCCATACAATATATGTATGCCCGTAATACACTAGGACATTACGGGCATAAATAAAATTTCTATATAATTATATAAGCAAAAGTAGTATTGTATGTATGTCCGTGGAAATTGTATGTATGCTAGGTAATTAGATTTAAATATAATATTATTTACACCGTGCCTTCAGGCACGGGCATACACTAGTTATTCTATAAAATAGAATGGAATAAATCATTAGATTATTTAGATATATGATAAAATTATATGGTATGATATGTATCATTTTTTGATTTGTTGTATACTTAGGCCTCGTTTGGGAACCTTCGTTTTTAGCAAAAAAGTCAAAAAATTACTAAATTAGCCAAAAAATCAATAACCCATACTAAAAAGTCAAAGATTCTCTTTTCTCTTTATTTTTTGCACATCTTTTCGTAAAAAGTCAAAAAGTCATCTCCAGTATACTAGTTTTTTTTAGCTCATATTTTAGCCAAATAGCCAAAAAGTTACTAAATTAGCCTGTTCCCAAACGAGGCCTTAATGATATAGACTCAAATTCTATTACCATATCATTTTGGGTGAATTTATAAGTCTCTAACATTTCTTCAGAATTTATATAAAAAAAGAAAAGAAATTATGATGTGTAGTTTTTATCAATAGATTTATATAAATAAATATTAAGATAATTCTCCTATATAAAAAAACTACTAAGATAACTAATAAAGAAGCAGAAGAAAATATATATATATATACAAATGGTTAATTTTATTAATACATAATTCATACTCGACAAATGACCAATTTTATTAATAAGTAATCATCAAGTAAATTAATAATTTTTAATGATATGAAAAATATTTTTCAGTTAATCATTTTGTTAATAAATAAATCATTAAGTTAATTAATAATTTTCAATATGTGAGAAATATTTTTCAATAAATAATTTTGATAATTTATTATTGCATAGGAGAATAGTTTTTTTGGGAATTTTTTTTAAGGTCCCTGATATCAAGATTTTATAGTATAAAGGACACTCAATATTTCCATAATGTCTAAGGTCCGTCAAATTGATCCAGAAAAAATTCAATTCAGAGAATTGCTCTGGTCCAAACTAGAGAAAATTCTATCCAACTTAGAGAATTTCTTTGGTCCAAACCAGAGAAATTCAATCAAAATCAAAGAAAATTCAATCTAACTCTGAGAATTTCTCTAGTCCAAACCAGAGAAATTCAATCAAAATCAAAGAAAACTCAATCCAACTCAGAGAATTTCTCGGGTCCAAACCAGAGAAATTCAATCAAAATCATAGAAAATTCAATCTAAATCAGAAAATTTCTCGAGTCCAAACCAGAGAAATTCAATCCAAACTAGAGAAAATTCAATCAAACTTAGAGAATTTCTCTTGTCCAAACCAGAGAAATTCAATCAAAATCATAAAAAATTCAATCTAATTCAAAGAAATCAAAACATAAGTCAGAGCACGTAAAATTCAAAATTCTAGTTTCCTATATTTTCCTCAGCTTTCCGAGCAACCAAAGAGATGATATACACAAGGAAAAAGGTATTTGATTGAGTTTGATACACATATAAAGATTCAATTTTGCAATTAGATTCAGGTACTCACAGTTTCCTCTTGCCTTTTCACCTTCTTGCTCTTCTTCTTTTTCTTACTTTTACTCTTGCTCTTCAAATCTATCACCACAACTTCATCTTCTTACAACGGCAACGAAGAATGATCGACCTTCGATTCTAAGTCGTTCCGTTGGTCAGAGTTATAAGCTCGTAGCATTGCTTTCTTGACGATTTTCAAGCTTAGATCTTCGTTGGCTTCTTCATCGTCGTAATTACCGTTCAATACAATACCGAGAGAGGAAAAAAGAGCAGAGAGATAGAAGAATGTGCAAACGAAAGAGGGTTTGGTTTGGATAGAATGAAGATCGGAGAAAGAGAGCATCAAATTTCTCTGATCTAATATATGAGTGTGGGTTTAGGGATCTTAGACATCAAAAATTAATATTGTGGATCTCGTCCATTACTAAAAATAGGAAAGGAACTTTAGACTAATTTTTCCTAGATATTTTTCTTCCTATGTACTGTGTTGAATTAAAATTTATAATAAACGATAGTTGTAATTTTTAATATTATAGAACTTATTCATATTTTAAACAAACCTTATGAGTTTATTTGTAATTTGTTAAAAAATAAAAGATTTATGTTTTATAATTGACCAAAAATATTTGCGTAATTACAAAAAAAATTTGTTTCATAATTGACCAAACCAAGAATATTTGCGTAATTACAAAAAATATTTCACTTAACATATGGGTCACCATTAATAAATTATTCAAAATAAAAAGATAAAATCGAACAAAAAAGACAAACCTCAAGCAGCTAAACAGTTGTTATATATATATATATACAAAATTATTGGCATTAGAATAGGACTATGTGCTTTTATTTTCTTCATTTACAATGATAAGTTCTAAAATAGTTAATATTTTCACATTAAATTTTTTTTTTTTTTTGTATAAAAATAGTTTTTAAAAATTCAAATACAATCTTTTCATATTTCGTAAAAAGTGGATTATCCAATTCGTCTTGCTAAGGTAACAAGGTTCATTACAAAAAAACAAAAAAAAAAACCCACCTCAACTTTCCTAAACTTTATCAATAACAAGAAAGCTAAACTCGGGTGCACTATTAACAACCTTCTCGCTCGCTAGTCTTACAAAAAAGAAAAGAAAAGAAGACAATCAATCAAAATCAAGAAGAAAAAAAAAGGGTTGAAAACAGTGAATCAAGACCTAGATGGATCCCTATCTTTATCTCTATCCACTGTTTCTTCTTCTCCTCAAAAACAGATTTAGAAAACAATGCATCAATCAAGTAATACAGCCCCTCAACAGTATGCAATGGCACTTTCTTAAAAAAAAAAAAAAAACACAGTATGCAATGGGTTCCCATGATAGAGTTTTTACAAGAACAACTTGTAATCTTGAGAACTCTCAAAATTATTCTACAATTTCTTCTGCATAATTTTAGTACTCGTGAAATGACAACAACATTCATGGTTAAAATGGTAGAGTTTTTACAAGAATAACTTCTAATCTTGAGAACTCTCAAAATTATTCTACAACTTCCTCTGAATAAATTTAGAACTTATGAAATGACAACAACATTCATGTCAAGGCAATCAGAGGTTACAAGAACTGTCCCCTGGCAAACACTGAAAGCCATATTTTGAAAGGAAAAATATATATATAATTAAGACGCTACATATAGCGAGTTTAGTCGCACTCGCATGTATGTACAGGAGAACATGACACTACTGATGCAAAGTCAAAGATACAAATTACAATAAATCAACAAAATCAAAAAAAAAAAAAAAGGAATATACAGAACTTGTGAGACAAAAATTTGAACCTGGATAAATTTTTATTACTGTTGCAGCCACTCTTGAATTGCAGAACGGAGAGCATGATTGGGCACGAGGTTGCAGTGTGGAAGCTTGAGATTTGTCATAGGTGAAGTGTCGTGGCCACTTTCGAGCCATCCTTTCAAAGCCTCCAACTCATAAGTAAAGCCATCGGCTGCGACATGTGGATCTTGCATGATTTCCTGCAAGATTAAGCCAACAAAAAAATCAACTTTCTTGCCCATCACAATTCACAATGTTGATGACTCACAAAAACACTCATTTTTAACTTACACTTCCAAATTATTTTGTATTTTTTGAAACCTGATTTCGCTCAAAAGTATAAACAAAGAGTGTTTCTCAACTTTTACAGTTATTTTTGTTTCTGAAAATACAAAACATTAAATCGATATCAAACTGACAAAAGGAGTTTTCCAGAATAAAACTTCAAATTGATCACACAGCATAGCTACAGTGTGTTAAGAGGAAGAAATATTCCACACACAAATTCTATTACTGGCCAAAACAATATAGATTTTTTTTTTTTTTTTGTGTGTGTTAATTTTGGGTTTTATTTTGGGATGAGAGAATCATGCAAAGAGAATCGAGAATTCCTTAGCAGCACTAGAAAAAAAATCATTGCAATCAGTTGTCAATCATAAAGCTGGGTTATGTATGCTAAAAGAACGCTTTAGGCTTTTCAAAAATTTGGGAGAATGTAACTCCTATAGTTGAATACAAATGAAGGATGCAAATGAGCAGAACTGAGCTTTGGAGTGCTTGAGCTTAGCTCCGTGAAAATTAGCTGAGGTTGAGCTCGAGCTTGAGCTCAGCTCGTCAAGTATTTGAAAAACTTGAGCTTGCCTTGAGACAACTCAATTCTGTAAACGAGCCGAGCTTGCTCAAGCTTGAAAAAAAAAGGATTATAAACAAAACATAAAAAATGCTCATATTATTAATAAATTTTATTAATCAAATTAGAAATTTGCACAAGAATTTATCATAAATCAAGAGCAAAATAAATTAATAAATATATATATAATTAAAAAAATATTAATTTATATATAATTGTGTTCATGATCCTATTCGAACCAAGCATGGGTCTACTCGCGAGCTTGGCTCAATTGCTAAACGATCCTAAAATTTGGTTTCAGCTCATTCATTTAATAAACAAGCCGAGCCCAAATGAGCTAGCTGCTCATAAACAGCTCGGTTGGTTTGCAACCCTAATACAAATGCTAAAAGATTTAAGATAAGAAGCAATGGACCAACCTGAAAAATGGGACAAATAAAATATGATGGAATCTGGCAATGCTCCTCAGAGCTCATCCGGAATGGTGAGGGGGCCCCGCATGAAGCTCTCATTGGTTCAAGCACCCTCCACACCTCCGAGGCAAGGTCAGGCCGGTTCCTACGGTTCGTCTCACAGCATCTTATTGCCAAGTGAGCCAACTGTTTGGCTTGCACAAAAGGCCAGTCCCCAGCTGTCGAATCTAGCAAGTTTTTCAAATTTCCTTTATCTAATGCATATTGCACTTCCCCGGCTATCCCCGTGGCAGATCTTCCAGTCAATAACTGCAACAATATAATTCCAAACGAGTACACATCTGACTTTGTGGTAAGCTCTCCTGTTAAGAGAAATTCCGGATCCATGTATACTAAAGTTCCCTTTGGGTTGGTTCTGCAACACAGTGTCGTGTTGGTGGTTGAGGATTCATCTTGAGTAAGAACACGACATATTCCAAAATCACTGAGTTTGCTGACAAGGTTGGCATCTATGAGAATATTAGCAGGTTTTAGATCGCCATGCACTATGCTGTGGGGATTGCAAGAATGAAGGAAGACAAGAACAGAACAAAGCTCCGCTGCAATACGGATTCGAGTTTGCCAGGTTAGGGGAGGGGTGTTGTCCTTGCAGAGAAGTCGATCTTCAAGGCTTCCATTAGGATAGTACTCGTAGACAAGAACAAAAAATTCTGGGCAGGCTCCAATGAGAGTGACAAGGTTTGGATGCCTCAACTTGCTCAAAATATTGACCTAAATAAAACCAGCAGATGCCAAAAATTCAGATGGTTTTCTCTTTATCCAAAACCATACAAGAATTGATACAACTACAATGTGCAAACAAGAAGACAGAATTTATTGTAAAACGTTAGTGTGGAAGATGGGGAAATCTGTTTTCAAATTTGTGTATCCAAAACAATTTACTAGAATCCCAATATCTGCTAGAGCTTCAGTATACACAACAAAATCCATCAGAATAAACATAAACAAACAAAATAAAATCCATCCCAACAACATTAACAACATAATTTAGGTTTTTCTTCTGAAGAGTGCATTGCCAGTGAATTTACAGATATGCAAGCTGCAACTAGTAACTTCTTGCCGATCAAAAAAAAACCTAGTTACTTTCCATAACCTTCTGCATGTTTTTCGGAAGCACCATGTCAAATGGTGAAACAGTGAATGAGCAAAGGCACAATCACCCATTTGAAGAGAGAAAGTAAAACCATAATTATGGGCAACAAATCTAAGGTAGTGTTTAGTTTAGTTTTAAAATCATGATTTGATAATGGAGTTGTATTTTGAGTTTGTGAATGGTTGAATCATGATTTGAAAAGAGAAAATTTGTTTGGTTATGAGTTTTGAAAAGAGTTTTGAATTGAATTTTAAATTTTTGAAATAAGTTTTAAAATAAGAAAAGTTGTTTGGCTTTGAGTTTTGAAAATAGTTTTCAAAACTTAATTCAAAAACTTATAACTCATAACCAAACACACAACTTAAAATTTTATTAAAAATTCTATTCAAATCTCATAACCAAACTCTTTTGAAATTCAATTCAAAAAAATAATTATTGAAAAAATTAATTTTTTATTTAAAAAAATCAAAATTTCCAAATTTTTTTAAATTTAAAATATTAATATATATATATTTTTAAAAATATTCAGCTAGTGCTTTAAAATTACTTTTGATTGTATATTTGATTGAATTTTTTTTTTTATTGTTTAGTTTAAAAATATTTTTTTTATCAAATCAATATTTTTTTTTGTTAATTTTAAATAAATGGTAAAATAATTTGTCATTTTGGTCTAAAAAAATAATTTCTATATTTAAAAAATATCAATTTTTTTTTTTCAAATAACAGGTGGCAATTGCATCCAAAAAATAAACACTATTCCAGTCAATTGGCTGAACATCCGGGAGGATGTCTGGACGGACAACCGGATAGACCCAAAAATTCAAAAACTCTTTGATTACCGAACATGTTTTCAAATGTGTTTTGAAACGTGATTTGGAATCATATTTTGAAAACTATAATCAAACATAGGGTTGGAATATGAGGGTGGAATCATGATTCCAAAATGGAACCAAATAGAGCCTAAAATTTGGATCCAACGGCTCATGCCAATTGAAAGCAAGAAAACATGGGGTGACACCCCCAAAATTAAAGTCCCCTTCACTCAATTAAGATGTTGATCCAAATATGAAATAGGGCCATTTACTAAATAAACACAACCAGAAATCATAACGATCCAATTCTGGTACAGCAGAACCAAATGGTATAATATTCTGTGGGCAACAAATATTGACGACTCCGTACAATATCAAGCCCTGCTTACACAATAACTATAACCCTCCGGCTCTGTAAATGAATGGCTTAAACAAATGATATAACTAATATGAAGTTGACAATAAAAACCATCTTACCTCTTGTTGAAATTCTGCGGGGCCTTGCGAGCTATTAGATTTCAGCATCTTTATAGCCACTTGAGTGTGACGAAGGAGACCTTTATAAATACTTCCATAACCCCCTTCGCCAATCTTCAACGACCGATCAAAATTACAAGTTGCTTCTTCAATCTCAGAGAAGGAGAACTCAGAGAAAAACCGAGGCGTAAGTGCGTTTGAGACCTCCTCTGCTTGTTTTTTCCTCAGCTCCTCAGATACTTCGAGCGCTTTGTCACGCTCTACCTGCAAGTCATCTCGTTCCTTCTTATACTTTTGCAACAGTTCTACAGCAGAGAACATCTTCTGTTCTAGCTCCAGTATCATCTGGTTAGAGCTTGCAATTTGGTTCTCCAGAGATGATTTATGTTCCTGGGCAATACGGAGTTCTTCCATGACTTCATCCACATGCCGCTTCATATTTTCAAGCTCTTCCCTTCCCCTTGCTAGTGCTTCTTCATATTCTTTCCTTTTTCTCATTTCCTCGGCATGTAAGCTTTCTGATGTTTTAGCCTGCAAATTGGCAATTTGTACAAGATCATTTGAGATTTTCTCAATTTTCAGTCTTCAAGTTACACGTGTAAAACACTTCTTTTGATCGAGGATGATGCCTACCCTCTCATCTAGTTCAAATCATGTTACATGAACTCTTTAAATACCCATGGTAGACACTTGACACTTGGACAAGGGTGTAGCATATGTTTCCAATACTTTTCATTGGACACTTCTTGTTATGTGTTTGTATTGAACACTATCATTATATGTATTTATTGTTGTATAATTGCTATAAAATAAATAAATTGTATTTTTGACACTGTTAGTTACATATATCACCATTTAAAAATATATTAAAAACATAAAAAAATATAACCCTTTTTTGCAAAGTCCTTGTACCCTTAAATTTGAGGTTGACTGGGTACGACCTCTAGATATGCACCCGTATCTGACACCTGTACCCAAGGTTCTGAAAAGCAGTTGTGGTCGCTGTAACGGTGGCAGTACCGCGATTGCGGTTGTGGGGTGTAAGGACCGTAGCATAACGGTTGCGGTAACCGAAACCGTGAATTTTTTTATTTTTCGCACAATTTGAAAAAAACTTACCGATATGCATATTTTTTTTTCCATGATCATATTTATTGGGTTTAAAATAAATATTTATCAATTTTTGTAAATTTTTAAGTATGATTCAATATATTTTTTATTTTTAAATCACTATAAACTGAGTTTTTTATATTTTATTTTAATAATTAATAACTTTATATTATTCAAAAAATCAATCACTAACTATTATATATAAGATGAACAATGACAAAAGTAAGAGAATAAATAAGAGCCTAAATATATATATATATATATATACATATTTTAACTAAGCCAAATAGATAATAATCACACTTATTATTATTATTATTATTATCATCGAACAATATATAGATACACACACACAAACAAAATAGTTAAGTGATAGCAGCTGAATAGAATAGCATAGGTCTTACTGCTTCAACAAATCAATAACATGTTCTTCATCTTCCTTCTTCTCTCTCTCTATCTCTTGCTCCTCCATCTTCTCTCTTTATCTTCCCTCTTCTCTCTATCCCTCTTCCCCCATTTTCAGTTTTTTTTTTTTTTTGCATTTTTTCGAAAGAAGCAGTTCAGAACCGTTACACAATGGTGTGTAACAGGCTGTTATGGCCCCGTTACGACCGTTACGGCAGCCGCTACGGCCGACACACTTGTGAATCTCAATCACACTGCAAAAAGCGACTGTAACAGGTGGCGGTAACCACCACAACCGTTACGTAACGGTGTTACGTAACGGTTGCGGCCGCTTATTAAAACCTTGCCTGTACCCGAGTCTATGAAACATAGGGTTCAACAAATCATCAATCCAAACTGTCAAATAAATACCCTATCTTTTGGATGGAAGATCACAAAAAGAATAGTCCCCCTTCCCCTTGTATCACAAAACAGCTCCATACATTATGGACTCAGATCTTTTTTGTCTCCCCATTCCAAAAGACGGTCAACCCATATGAGAGTTGAGCATGAAAATTAGGTAACATGTAGACCATTCTAATATGTAAGAGGTAGATTTCTTTCACGTAATTTCCCCTACCTAGTAGATCCATGATAAGTAAGAAAACAACAAATCTTCACTGTATATTCTACATCTGATACCAAATCATCACCGGGAAAATAAAAATAAATAAACAAGTGCATAGTGACAAAAAGTTTACTCTGCGGATAGCATCAATGGCATCTTTTTCAGCTTTCCTACGCCTCTTTGACTCTTCAAAGGCCTCCCGCCTGGAATTTTCTGCCTCTACCATAGCTTGTTCAAGCTGATCATAAAGTTCACAATCCATAACTCCCTCCTGCTAAAATCATGAACCATGCAGGAACTCAATAAAATTTCGAAGCCCTGTGTCACTAGATCAACTCATATTACTAATATTCGAGATACAAGTTAAATGATGATTATAATACGAAAAGTGTAGTGTACAAAGACAGACATATGTGCATGCTTCAACATAATAGGCTAATACATACCAGTACACTGGGAGGGGATGAATGCCGATGATGATCCTCCTTGGGATGCATTGCATGTGACTCCGATCCAGGGTCAGCTCTCGCAGGTGAGGTCAAATCTGAATCATTAGCCATAACATCAGGAGAGGAACAAGATGAATTCAGAGAAGGACAACTCCTTGAAATGTCCTCCCAATCGTTGAAACTCCCTAATGTATTTGAACTTCTGTGAGGAGTTAACCCTCCGGGGCTAGCTGAGGAAAAAGTTGAAGTTCTCATCCCATGAACGTCAGACATTGCTCTGCGATAATCTGGACCTGAACTGGTGAGCCCTTCTATAACAGATCGTGATCTCAAGGAACTTGGTTGCCCAGTTTCATTGTTTGGACTTGCTTGCAGCGTCAGAGATCCAACCTCCATGCTAATTCCTTCTAATCTACCCTCCCTATATAGATATGGCACATGCATTCTCAATTGTTAGAACCAAAAGATGGTTCGAGAATTATGAAAACAGTGAAAAGGGAAGAATAGTAACAGTCAGAACTCTAAAAGTGTTCTCTGCTGTAATTGATTGAGGATGCCGTGACCACAAGTAGGTGATCCATAAAATGTTAAGAAGGCTTAAAAGTTTCCCTTTAATGACATAGATATTCTTACATATCAAATATTTTCCAATAAAATAGATCCTCGTTAAAACAATAGGGTTGTAATAAATAAATAAAAATGTGTCCTACAAGGGCCTGAATATAGAAGAAACATCATGCAGGATGCAGCCAACCTCAAGTAGTTGGCACTGTTATTTGTTCAGTAGTAAGAACAAAATTGTCAAGCATACCTTGTGTGAACAAGGTGCCCTTTACAGACAAACAAAATGCGGCAAAACAGAGGTGCTTGTAGGTGCACATAGGTGGCTTTCTTAGATTTTGTCTGCATCATCTTCCTGCAATGTTAAGGCATTAGGGTAAGCAATCTTACCATACAAGTGTCATGCAAGTTTCCATCTAGCAAGATATGAAAGAAGTGTTAAATTTCTTCCCAAGTTTCAAAAGTGCATAAAAAAGCACAAGATACTTGATGGTTGGTCTGTATTTAATACCCACAAAAACCATAATTTGTTTATAGATCTATAGCTGACCAAGTTTGTGATTCATTTTGATCACAGGCAAAGAAGCAGATGTCCAAGTCTGTTGTTACAAGAAGAGCGAGAAAAAGGAATAATAAGAACCATGTATTGGAACCCAAATGAAATAAATTTACTCAATCTGGACCAATAAATTTAGAAGAGGACATTTCTCTACCACTTAATTGTTTTCTTTGCACTATGTGGACTTCTAAAGGATAGCATGTCAGGCAAGGAGTGAGGACAATTTATATACATCACAAGAACAAAAGATTGAAATTTGGGAAGAATTATCCAGAGCCAGTCTTCAGGGCATCGTATAAATGCTTTGTTGCCAATTACAACAAGAAGCAGGAGAGATGTACACAAAATTGTTTGTTAAGAAGACGATGATGAACAAGTTAATGTAAAAGGCTTTTATGAGGTCGTTACCTTGAATAACGTTTATCTGCAGCTGCTCCCATAACAAGCATCTTGATACTATGTTGAGATATCAGTTCCACAATCCCCTTCTCGATAGAGTCCTTTATAGTGTGTACAATGTCTGTAGAAACCTATATAAGAGGAATGCCAAATAGATAAGAAAGTTCAGTGTGTGCACTGACTCGTTAATACAAAGGAAGTCCTAACTTTTAGTATCAAACTAGTAGCATGGAGCTATTTGCAAACATAAACCTAAACCATTGTAATGGGCTCTTATGCTATATATTGCAAAAACATTTTATAGAATTTTCTCATATGGTTTTTGGTAAAACTAACATCAACTCATTCTGCTGCATGACATCAAGATTCATGAAATCAATATAATTATAAATACTAACAATAAAATTTACATGCAGTGAAAGAACTAGAAGCAGAGATAATACCCCTGCTTGCTCACAAATCATGCTGTATTCACGTAGAAGCTTGTTCATATCTTGCTTCTCAGTTTCACGGTATGCCTTGACTTGATGTTCCTCCAGTTGGCTTACTGGAAATTTTGTACCCACTAAAACCAAAAGAAATAAAAAATAGAATACATAAACATGCATGTTTAATCAATAAAAACCATCTTTACACTTCATCCAATAAAACCCATGTCAAGAATCACTGAGAACTGCACATCAGAAGCAATATAAATGAAGTGCTGGAAGGGGGAAAGAGAAAATGGGGAGGGGGGAGAGGGGGCAAAGGAAATTTTTACTAGAAGAAAACAAGAAACAACTAAAATGAATACAACTCTCCCCGCTTGTTTATAAAACGGGTATAATAAAAATGTATTAAGATTAAGGGGACAAAAACCACATAAACGCTACTACTCCAACTAATTGTACTCATTTTAATAGTGAAAACAAACCAACTTGCATTAGCCAATCACAGAAGTTTAGACAACCCAGTAACTAACATAGGCCAAGAAAAAAGAAAATGCATTCAAAGATAAATATTCACTTTCATTTATCAAAGGAAAAAAATAAATTCCACTGTCAACCAATCCAACCCTCACAGCACCGTGGAAAATAGGGTGGGAGCAGAGTAGTGGCCTTTAAACGATTATATTATTCTCAAAAAACTTAAGGATCATGAGTTATGCGTCACCCAATAAAGATCTTTTTCTTTTTTTCTGACCAAAAAGAAAAACTAATATATTTATATATGAATATAGAAGCTTCCACACGCTGTACAAGCATTGCTAAATTTTCAAACTAACAATCTCTACTAGAATAAGGTTTTGAGAACAGATATGATTTCTCATATGACTTTGGATTGAAAGCAAGTAAACAAATGCATATTTATTCTTGTTAAGACATTTTCATGTGTATGTAAAGTCAGAAAAGAATGATCTCACATAAAATATGCTTTACATAATAGTTTGCATTAATATTTGATAAACCTACAAACAATTTTAATGTATACGCAAGTCAATATAGGAACAAGCTCGACACATTGGGCAGCAAAAGAACAAAATTAAGTATGACTTTAGATTGTACTATATGTTAATTTGATTTTTATCCACAAAGTAACCAAGAGGCAATACTATATCAAGTTTGGATCATAGATTCAATTCAAGAAAACCAGGTCAACAAATATGATCTTTGCACAATATCAGTATAACACAAAATAGCAATTCTATAGAAATTCAACAAGCAACATATATATGGAGAGCGTGCAGCAAGAAATTACTTAAGGGTATCCACTGTGCCGGTTCATGAACATGAAGGAGGCATATCTTCCTTCCTCCTGAGTTGTGCAATGCCCATAACACAGTTGATTTGTTCTCTTTCAATTCCTTTCCCACCGCTACGTACATCTTATCTTGTACGGCAACTTGCACCGGTGGTTCCTCAACGATTTCATGCCTAGTTACCATCATTCTAGGGATTTCAATTTGAGGGTTTCTTGTTGGATTGGTCTGTTGTGGCATCCCATCAAGCATAGGACTCACCACAGCCATGGAAAATCATTGAAACCCTCCCTCTATCAATCTCCAATTCTCTCTGTAAAACCTCTTTTTCTGTATATTTCACTCAAACATCAAAACCCCCAACTTCTCTGAAAATTTCAACATATAAAACTTCAAATTCACAGCTGAGATAAACCCTACCCCACCATCTAAACAAGATTCTAATCTTAACAGCAAAAATCCCCAAAAATTCTCTGAAAATTTCAACAAGGTAAACTTTAGATTCACAGCTGAATCTCTCTCTCTCTCTCACACACACACACACACACACAGAAATCACTCTAAAGCATCAACACAAATGAATCAAACCAACTCCTTCCCTCTTTCTCTCTCTAAAAATGAAATTTTCACGAGAAAACACTTGCCCATATAGAAGACACTCTCGATGAAAACAACCAAAGCTGAGAGAAGTCTCTATAGCAATGATTATCCTCAAAAGGGTTTGCTTTTCTCGATGATATATATGGATATACCACCTCAAACTAATCAAACCACCTCGTCTTCTCTCTCTCTAAAAATCACAAAAAAAAATTGGGAAGATTCAAAGAGAAATTCGATGATTCAAAATTCGGGGGATCGAATAGAATCGTCAATGGGGATTGAAATCTAAGAGAACAAACGAATAACCAACCAAAGCAATGACAAGTCTCTATGTAGCAAATGATTGTGCGTAAAAGGAGTTGCTCGTCTTGGTAAGACACATAAGACTACTATATATATTATTATTATTACAGATTAATGTCAATTTGCATAAACAATTCCAAATCCATGGATCGCTTGGTCAACCTCTCACTCTCTCCCCTCTTTCTCTCTCTGGGATTGATTGCTCAACTTCCTTGAAGACGAAGCTTCTCAGCAGCAAAGATTCCTCTGAACTTCTAGACAGAATTATTAAAAAAAAAATTTTAAAAAAATTAATTGGATAAAAAATAAATATATCATGAAATTTACTTAAAATATAAATTATTTTTAAAATTTTTAATTTTATAATAAATGATAATTTTTATTAATAAATTATTAAATTAATTAATAATTTTTAATAATATCATAAATTTATTTCAATTAATAATTTAAATAATAAATCAGTTATAAATTTTATTTTTTATTTAATTTTATTAAAATGATAATTTTTATTAATAAATTACCAAATTAATTAATAATTTTTAATAATATCATAAATTTATTTCAATTAATAATTTAAATAATATGTATTATGTTTGTGGCAAAATGAAGATGCTATTATGAAGTGACTTAGAAGTTTGGTGCTTGTTGGGGATTAATAATAGAGTACTTGTAATTTTTTAAATTATAAGAGACAATTCGTATTTTAAATAAAATCTTAAGAAATGTATTGGTAAATTATTCAAGTTGATTATTTTTCAATTTCAGTAATTTCAATTTTATTTTTTTACTTTTGATGGATCAAAGTGAGATTTTAAAAAATATAATGACAAATTGGTATTTTGAGAAGTTGGTAAAAAGTTAATTTTTTTTAAAACTTTTTTGCTAAAAAAAATTGGCTTTTTTGCTAAAAAAGTTGACTTTTTGTGGCTTTTTTGTGTAAAAAAAATTAAAAAAGTCAAAAAATTAACTTTTTACTGTTTTCTCAAATTGTCCAAAAGCGGTATTTTAATAAAAATATAAAAATTCTACTTAGACAAGAAAAAATTACGTATTAATTGTTTGAGGTGTCCTAAATAAGTGTATTTTTTTATCTTTTTGAACTAAAAATATGAGAAAAAGAATATGAATATTTGGATTAATTTTTTGATTTTTTTTTTAAATATGTATTAAAGAATTGTTTTAAAAAAATTGTATAAAAGAAGTTATTGATAGCCCGTACAGCAGTCTGGCCAAAAAAATGTAGAAGATAAGTTATTGATAGGCCGTACAGTAGTCTGGCGGAGCAGTGGTAGATTAGGAGATAAGAAATTATTACCTACTTCTTGGGCTTAAATTGGTGGTGTTGTCCGGCCCTTGGGGGCTACCATGAGTCACGTTTTGCTAATCAAAACGTTGAATGTGTAGAACTCGTCGAGTACTATATGTTTATAAAAAATCATGGTGATCGGATATCGATAGTTATCTGATCGTGTCAGTTTTTTGCCAATCGTTAACTATAACACTATCCATTTTTATACAAAACTAATTTGATCATATAATTAGCAATATCTGATTAACGTGATTTTTATATGCATATATTACTCGACGATTTCTACACATTAAACGGTTCAGATTATAAAAAAGAGATCCGTGATGGCCCCTACTAGCCCAATATTACCCTCCAATGTAATGAATAGATATACCTAATTTTTTTTTACCCCATTGAAATCCCAATAAAGGGGGTGTTTGTTTCAGCTTTTCAGAGCCAACTTATGACTTTTAGCTTTGAAAAAATTATTTTGGACTGTTTGGTTAAACTTATTTCAAACAGCTTCTGATTCTAACAGTTTATTTTAACTCAAAAAAATCTGATTCTGAGAAGCTACTCACCCCTTGCTTCTGATTATCAACTTCTGCTATGGATATGTTAATTTATGGTTATACTCTTAAATTTTTTATTTTTATTTTTTTAAAAATAGAAAAAGACTCAAATGGACTATAGATTATTATTATTATTTTTTATGAGAAATGTAGACAAACAAAAAATAAAAATTAATTGAAAAAACTATTTCACAGCTTATTTAACAAACACTACTCAGCAACTTAAATCTATAATCCATCAGCTACACCAAACAGATTAACAACTTCTGATTAAAGTCATAATCTATAATCTGTTAAGCTATAATCTATAAGCTGTTTTAACAGCTACACCAAACGGGGCCAAAGTGCCTGCCACCACGGGTACCACAAGTCACGTCTTTGTATGGTAATATTGTGTAAATTAATATTTTTATATTTTTAATTGATGAATAGTGATAATTTTTTAACTTTTTTTTGATAATTTTTTGACATTTTGAATTTTTTATGAGTTCCCAACCTTGGACTTAGCTCATATAAAAAAGTTGTGTTCAGATCCGCTTGGCTAGTGGCTATTTTAACTAAAGATTATTATCTTAAGGTCTCGTTTGGGAATAAATTATTTTAATAATTTTTTTATTTTTCCAAAAATATACAGAAAAGTAAAAAGAGTTATGTGATAACTTATAATGACTTTTTGGTTAAAATATGTAGTCCCCAAACGATTAGTTAAATTTTTAACTTTTTATGAAATATGTATAAAAGAATAAATAGAAGAATTGACTTTTTATAGTATTTCATATTTTATTTATTATTATTATTATTATTATTATTTTTTGACTATTTTACTCTATTGTTAACTATCTTAAAAAATAAAAAAAATCATTAAAAAAATCAAAATTTTCATCACACTCACTCAACAAAGCTAAAGAAGCATCACCACACATTGTCCATTTTTTGAAAAAATTAAAAAGTTATTATCAAATATATTTAGGGACGTTTTGGTAACATAGTAAAAAGTTAATTTTTTTTGATTTTTTTAGCAACAATGTTAAGCAGCTTAAAATTTTGTGGTTCAAATGGTTCAAATCTGTCAAAACGACGTCGTTTTGACAGATTTTGAGTGTAAAACGACGTCGTTTTGGCAGATTTGAGCTATTTGAGCCACAAAATTTTGAACTATCAAATATTTTCTTTTTTTTTAGTTATATTATCTCTTTACTTTTTTTGCTCAAAAACTTAAAAAGTCTATTTTTTACCAACTTTCTAAAACATCACTTAATTTTTTTAGCTCATATTTTAATTAAAAAGTCACTTCTCAAATAAACCAGAATGATAATGTTATAACTATACTTAAAACATAAAAATTTAATTGTCACAATTAAAAGTAAAATGATCAAAGTGATATTACAGTAAAAATACAGATGCGCAAAGTAAAATTAACCTTAAATTAAAGAGTAAATTATGAAAATAATCTATATAATTTAAGCGATGTTTCAATTTGGTCCTTATTATTTTAATTTGATCGATTTTGTTCCTTAATTTAATGAATTGTGTTATATTGGTCCAATAAATAACAGTTGGTAGGTTTGATAGGCGAAAAGTCGCCACGTGTTCGACTGATGTGTCAATTTGATTCTTATAATTTACACGATTTGTTAATTTGGTCTCTGTTCTAATTTGCTCAATTTTGACAGGAACTAAATTGACACATCATGTAAACTATAATGACCAAATTAACACATCGTTTAATTTTCCGTCTACCAAACTTAACGACCGTTATTTATTAGATTAATATAACACAATCTATTAAATTAAGTGACAAAATCAAATAAATTAAAACAATAAAGACCAAATTGACATATTTATACAATTTACCCTAAATTAAAACTTACCAATCCTGTGGCCAAAAAAAAAATACTATTTAACAATTTTTCTCAAAATTAATGTGATCCAAATTTATCTGTTAAACATGACATGTGATGAGAATTCCTATCTTTTAGAACTTGACTAGTAAACGCCCACGTGTACTCTAAACAAATTTTCTCATGAATGTTACTGTTTAGCAATTGAATAGCAAGTGCCTAGACCAGCCCGGCAAGAATAATAGTCTAGATAAACCTATAAATCAGACAATTTCCAGTGAGCTACTTATAATTTTTTAGATAAACCTATAAATCAGACAATTTCCAGTGAGCAAGTTATAATTTTTTAAATTTTATTTTGAAAGTATGCGTATCCTATATGGCGGTATTTGGCAATAATTTTTTTTGGTTTTTTTTTTAATATTTTTTTTGTTAAAAGACAATTTTTTTACAAAATTAAAAAAAAAATAAATTCAAACAAAATATCACATCAAACCCCATAATCATTTCACTTCTTCTCTCACAAACATCATATCAAATCACTAAAAAACTCAACTATCTTTCCAAACACAAAAAAAAATTTCCAATAATATCTTACAACTAAGGCCTATTTTGGGAAGTGCATTATAATCCACTTCCCAGATTATAACTCACTTCCTCTCTCACAGAAAAGTTATTTTTCACAAAAAAACTGATTATAATTATCTTCTCAAAATAACCTTAAAAAAATCTACATAAAAACTCACTTCTCAAACACCCACGTAGTATAAAAAAAATGTTTTGGACCTTTTTTTAGGAAGATTCTCACTACCCTTATAGTGATGTGGACTAATAATGTATTTATATTAATTTTTTTTTTCTTTTTAGTTTGGACCAATCATAAGTAAGTACAGGTTATGGGAGTGATGTTTCGGAGGATCTGAATCATTACTGTATAGTATAATTTGTATTTATAATTTATTACGAAAAGTATTTTAAATAAATTAAAAAATTATTATTATTTAAAATTTGAAGAATATGTGTTTTTAATTTCTGTTTTTTCGTTATCAATTTACGTCTTTGCTAATGACAGCCCACCCCTAAAATCTGTCAATAACAATCACAAATGTCAAAAAATTTATAATTTGAATATATTTTTCCCACATTTCAAAATGTTTCTACATATTTTTATAGGAGTATATTTTTTTACACGTTCCAACACTAACAACACCATTAAGGTCTATTTTTAACATTATTTTGTTTATTTTTAACTAACAAGAAAGAGTTGTTTGGGGTGTTTTAAATAAGTGTATTTTTTGTCTTTTTAGACTAAAAAGTTGAGGTTGAAAATATGAATGTTTGGATTAACTTTTTGACTTTTTATGAAAAAATGTATAATAAAAAATTGTAAAAATTAATTTGTAGGAGAAAATTAGAATTGAGAGTTGTGCAGCCGTAATTATTGACTTTTGATAAATAGTGATAACTTTTTAACTTTTTGAATAACTTTTTGACTTTTTAACTTTTTTTGAGACTTCCCAAACT